CCTCTAAACTACTGGAAAAAATTGTGGAGTCTCAGTTGAAACAGTTTTTGGGGGATCACGCTATCCTAGAGATATTCCAATCTGGCTTCAAATCTCTCCATAGCACTGAAACTGCTCTACTGAAGGTTTTTAATGACATTTTCATATCCACAGACGCAGGTGATTCTGTGCTGCTTGTCCAATTGGACCTTACATCTGCTTTTGACACCATCGACCACAAGATCCTCATTTCTAGACTGGAGCAGTGGGTGGGCATCACAGGGTCAGCCCTTAAATGGTTTGGGTCCTACCTCTCTGACAGAACCTTCTGTGTCAATATCAAAGATTTTAGTTTGGCATTGACAGCGCTCCAGTGGGGGGTATCACAGGGGTCCATCCTCGGTCCCCTTCTCTTTTCTTTATACCTGCTGCCACTAGGTAATATCTTCCGCAAACACAACATACCCTTTCATTTCTACGCCGATGATTGCCAAATTTACTTCCCCCTGAGGCACAGAGGCACACGCTCTATTCAGCCTCTTCTTGACTGCCTGGCTGACATACGGGACTGGATGGCTTTAAACTTCTTAAGCTTCAATGAGAAGAAGTCTGAAGTCATGCTGTTCCATCCCAGTGGCTCACTCATGAACCATGACATTGACCTTTTCTCTCTAGCCCCGCTAGAGAAACAAAAGGTCACTAATCTGGGGGTGATAATGGACCCGTCCTTAAAACTCAACAGTCACGTAAACATGATGGTAAAATCCTGGGTTTTTTTCAGCTGAGACGGCTGTCTAAGCTGAAGCCTATACTCTAAAAAAGTTAAATCTGGTCCTCTGGACATTCAAAAAAACAAAACAAAGCAAATCAACAAAAAAATGTAGAAACGTTTCGTCTCTCATCCGAGAGACTTCCTCAGTCTGAGGAACTGTATTCAGCTCAGTCTCTTAAATAGCACCGTCTCAGAGTGGATCAACCAGTTTTGCTGCTGACAACCAAAACCAGCTGATCACATGCTCAAGAAGGACCATCAGCATAACAATGGATCATTAGCACACTGATGGCTGTTTACTGTTCACAGAGGGCTGAGTGATACTAGCAATCACAGCATTGTAAGAGGGGGACAGTTGAACCCGGAGGCCTCCACCCCTGTTTAATGATGGACGATTTCTTTTCACAAAGATGGCCTCCTTTACTCCTCTCTCAAACCATCGTTCCTCTCTGTCCAGGATGTGAACATCTTCATCCCTGAAAGAGTGATTGCTGGCCTGGAGATGAGTGTAGACCGCAGAGTCCTGGCCTGATGATGTTGCTCTTCTGTGCTGGGCCATCCTTTTGGCCAGTGGCTGTTTAGTTTCCCCGATGTAAGACTGATCACAGCCCTCCTGACACTGAACAGCATACACAACATTGCTCTGTTTGTGCCGGGGGACTGGATCTTTGGGATGAACCAGTCTTTGCCGTAATGTATTTTGGGGTTTAAAAGCCACTGGGACGTTATGTTTAGAAAATAAACGTCTCAGTTTCTCTGAT